ACACACACACACTCACTCACTCACACACACACACACACACACACGCACACTCACACGCACGAACGCACACACGCACGCACACTCACTTACATGCTCACTCTCTCACACACACACAGGACCAGCTTAAACCAGCATCCCAGCGTCAAAACATACCTAGCCAGCATATGCTGTTTTTTTCAGCAGTTATGTTTACTTTGATTGCCATAGACCACAAAAGGCGTTTTCTCCGACATGCTGTGACTGACAATAGAACTATAAAATACACCAAAAACACAACATAATTACGAAATGACACAATTTTATTAGTGCGCTGTAATCCAAATCTTCCGAATCCATAGGACTGCGAGGAACAGACCCAAATCCAAGCCTTTTTTCGGCGATGTGCTTCTCCATCCCGAGCAGCGAGTCCACTGTAGGGATGGGCGTATCGAAAGTATCGATACTCAAACAAAAAATATCGATACTAAGGTGTGTTTTATTTACCAGTGATGTTGTTAAGTTAACAACAAAACAAAATTGTACAATATACATTGAATTGGACGAATAACCTTTGTTAGTGAGTAATTGTGTAGGATATAACTATTTTCCTGCTCATCTGAACACACGCAAATGTTGCAAGACAGAACTAGTCAATCACAGAGAGCATTCACTCACTGTTGACAGCGCATTCAAACAGGGCTGCGTTTCCCAAAAGTATCATAAGAAAGCATTAAAGCTTTTGGGAACAGCAGCCCTGAACAATGCTTATCAGAGGACAGAAGGACAGAGTTATTTCACAATAAACAAACTGAAATTGTAGTCTACACAGTTTGTGCAATTACAGTTATTTAAATCGAACGTTGAAAGGTAATATAGATCATGTTCTATTCTGTAATGTTAATATAAATCATACACCGTCAGAATAAAAAGGTTGCATCTTATGCATGCAACAGCCGGTCACTGGCAGTCCCTGATGAAAATGAACCATGGTTTTACTAAAGTAACCATAGTTCAACTGTATTTGTAGATTTGAATCATGTGTAAACAAAAAACATATTTGAACCATGTGTAAACAAAAATATAACTTAAGTAGTTACAATTAAGGCATATTGAATGTTAAAATGCATTTTAAACATAAAGTTAAATGCTTATTACCCATTTTACTTTTAGTAATTTAATAATTTAATAAATTTCATAATGTAAAAGTTTAGTTTAGAAGTATCGAATCGGTATCGATATCGACGATACTGCCTTGAAAAATATCAGTATCGTATCGAAAACAACCTAAGTGGTATCGCCCATCGCTAGTACACTGTGAGCAGCAAAGCCCACGCTGACTGATGCGCTCTTTACAAATTCAAATGGTGCTGCTTTTGACATTTTTGCAATAAATAAATGATTGTAATTGCATTTATCTGTCTGTCATGTTTTTCTTATACTGTACAGGAATGTTTAGGCTTATAGGTAGGAGTGGAATTAGCGACTAAATTATTTTGTTACTAAAATGGTTATTTTCCTGCATATTTCGATCATTTGCATTTTATATCCTTTTATACTCGCTATAAAATGGGTAGATTTAGGTTTGGGGGCAGGTTAAGGGGTCTAAAAATCTAAATCGCTTATTGATAAAATGAATAAAATGCATTGATATGAATATCTTAATGATATAAAAAATACGTAAATATTTTTACGTTTTTTAGGTAAAAGTACGTAGCGATTTGTACATTTTAAACGTTGAAATACGTCTAAATTGTACGTTTTAGCATTAATAAAAATGTACAAAAGTGTACGTTTTGTGCTTGTAAATGTTACGTATTAATATCTACGTATAAACATGAGACCAGGCTGGAATGTCATCATAACGCATTGAGTATTAGCCTAAAGGTTTTAATACCTTTAATAGGCTACTCATATATATATATATATATATATATATACATAATTTGTTAATGAGGCATCTGTGTACACATAAATGTTTTTGTGGAGTAGAAGTTATAGTGTTGAATTTTTAGGAAAAGTTAAAATTAGACCTTTTGTGTAACATGTACACAGAAGGACCCAAGTGGTATGTCGTTACAGTTACTAGTGTTATTATTTGTAATACTTCTTGTAATTAATTAGGTTATTATTTAAGATGTCCATGATTTAGATGTACATTTCAGACATCTTTGCTTTCATTTAAAACCTAGGTTAACTGTGTAATAATTCGAATTTGCAATTAATCTTGATTAAACTTGCAATTATCTTCAATTTAACCATAGACTGCTCAATATGTAAATATTCATCCCTTTTACTGGGACTCTGCTTTGCCTGTCATTGGTTATTCAATTATTCAACTAGCCTAAATTGTCAAAATAAAAATTTTAATGCAATAGTTGATTTAGTGTTTTACATGAACAACACACACACAAATATATATATATATAGCAAAAGCATGCATTCTATTCATGCATTCTGTAAATGTTTATCCAGGGGAAGCTTCTAACCCCAGGTAGGGGGCAAACTTACATTGTGTGCTATAACAGCTAAATGAGCAAATGTTTTTATTAATTTCCTTCAGTAACACATTGGCTAATGCAGCATCATCCTGTACATGCTAAATGTGTATGTAAATATGTTACAGTTTAAAAGTAAATGCACATTCTTCTTAAGTGGGGCATCTTACCCTGTATATAGATCATTGTGTCAGTATAATGACATGCATTTCTTCAGACATGAGGCAGTAGGTTATTGGAGGCTTTGGGAGTGAGAACAGATTGCTTATTTTTGTTATACAAATGCAGTAGTTGTAGGTACAGCTTCATGTGTTTAAGCTGCTGTTTTTTTACTAGCAGATGCCATAGTTTGTATGAAAGTTACAAAGCTTTGTAAACTTTTTCAGATGAATATGATAATGAGCCGGATGTGTTAAGAGCGGTGTTATCCTGCGGTCACGTCACAGATCCAGAGACACTGACTGATTGTTGCAGAGCTCAGATGGATGATGTGAGCAAATTGCGCTTGCGGTTTGTACCTGGAAATAATTCTAATAGCATATTAATGGTATGATAACCAGTTATGATCTTTGGTATTCATTTCAGGGAAAGACCGAATTCAAATGTCCGCTGTGTGAGAAGAAATGGCCATATGATGAAGTGCGAAAACTGGCAAAACTTTCAGATAATGAGAAATTAATTTTTGAGGACAAGGTCGGGACAAACACTGTTAAGAAGTTAGTCGACTTCAGGGGTGTAAGTAGCCTGTATTTCTGCCTCATAATTGTGATCTTAAGATTAACTTAATTTTAATTATTGATATTATATTAGATATAGATTCTTTATATAATGGAATTAAGCTTTCACACAGCTCAGAGTGATAGATGCAACTGACAGAAATTAGAAACCCCTCACATAAGAAAGCATGCACCATTTACTCAGATCAGTTTTGGAATTAGACTTTTTTTTCTCAATACAGTAAGTTTGGATCTCTGAACAATTAGATTCTTGTTTTTACCAGATTACAATTTGTATTAATTTACGTAAATTGCAGTGTTTTGGCATGTGTGTGTGTGTGTGTGAGAGTGTGTGAGTGTGTGAGTGTGTGTGCGCGCAATGCAGTAAATTTGTCTAGAGTTGCACAGTAACTTAATGCACGTAGCTTACTGATCAAGGAAGAGTTTCCCAAAAGCATTGTTTGCTATACAGTCGCAAGTTCCATAGAACTCCATTGGTAATGACGGAACTTGCAACCATAGTTGATTTTGGGAAATACACCCCAGAATTGATGAGATGATTCTCAATTAAATGTCATACTTATCACAACTTGATCCATTCAGTTATCAAAGTCAGAGTCAATAACTAGCATGAATTAAATGTTTTGGGCGAGTTAAATTTTTTCAGACATGCTTGTGATATACCATAAAACAGTTGTGAAAATAGCACTTTACAGTTAGAGTATGTTTAAAAGAAAACTGTAATACTAAAGAGAGAGTGTCTGAGAGAATGTGTCTGTGTGTAGGGCTGATTTAAAAAGATGAAGTAAAAACGGCAGTCAGGCAGTCTGTAATTTACAAAGAATGATGTTGACTTGTTCAGATTGTTTGGTGTGACACTTGCTGTAGGTTTTTAAGCATTGCAGATGGTGGAGAGATGTACAATGGTGAGTGAATGGGAACTAATGTGAGCTTAAAATGTCCATATTTAGTGTCCTGGTTGTGGCACCTTCGTTGAAAGGTTGGATGTTTCCAATCTCTGTGTAAAATGCTCAGTTTGCACAGAAAGGACCAGAAAAACCTATCATTTCTGCTGGCAGTGTCTGAGAGAGTGGAAAGGACCTGGACCTCGAGCTGATCGATGTGCTAATGTGGGATGTACAATTGACCAGAAACTGCTTAAAGACTGTCCGATGATCACTTTAAAATCAGTTCAAAATGTGCAGTGTCCAGCGATCCGTGCATGCACATCTTGTGGCATTCTGCTTGAACACAATAACAAGGGACATAAAATTATAGAATGTCATGCATGCAATAACCGATTTTGTTTTATCTGTTTAAAGCCTGCAGATGAGTGCATAAAATCAGCAACCCATTACATTGTATGCACAGCTGGTGTTGCACCAAGACAGGTTGATTAAGCATATGTGCAACAAAATTGATATCAGCAAGAGTGCACAGAAAGCATGGTCTCTCCTGCATTAAATTTGAAATAATTTAATTTGACATGTTTAGCTATTTGGAAATATAAACAAATTTATATAACATAGCGTATTACTTTTAATATCTTAGCAAATCGTAAGTACATTTAAAATTTTTCTCTTTGAATATGTCCATAATCATTACTAAAAGTAAGTCATATGAATTGAGGAAATTATTTATTCTGCAGTCTTTTAAAGATGAACAGATTTAATTTAGGCTTTTATTAATTTAGAAGCTCAAACATGCCTGTATGATGTAGCCTCACTGATTCACAAAAACATTTGATTTTCCGTTTACCATATAATTGCTCTTTGTATGTGTGAATAAAGGCCTGAATTAAAATCTGCCTGTCTGTCTTTCTATACTATATTCATTTTTCAGACAAAGCTTTGTTAAGCCATTATATATTTTGTTCAGACTTTTCGATCTGTTTGTAGAATCAATTCATTTTTAGATTAATTGTGGATTCAGTTAAGTTGAATCTATAGATTAAACACTTTGTGAAATGGTGATTTTGTGCAATTAAAAAACCTGCTGTAATATGTGCAAGAGATTTGAAAAATTACTCTATATATTCCCAATTTCTTTCATGAATATTTGCTTGTAGATGACTAAAAATGTAAATAAACAGAACCTGATTTTAGAGTTTTTGTTGCTGTTGAAAAGTGTTTCATAGGGGGAGACCAGGGATGGTAGTGACATGTGTGACATTTCTGTCTCTATCTTGGAGTTCTTTTAAGGCAGTTCACTCAAAATGTGACTCAAACTAGTTACTAGTCTCTGCTATTAAATGGCATAGCTGTTATATTTGCAGCACAAACAGAAAATGCATGGTTTCATTTGAAACATGAGGAGTGACATGTTAAAATTAGTGCTGTCAAACGATTAATCGCATCCGAAATAAAAGTTTTTGTTTACATAATATATGTGTGTGTGTTGTGTATATTTATTATGTATAGATAAAGACACATTCAGTATATATTTTGAAAATATTTACATGTATATATTTACAATATACATCATATATAAATATATTAAATTATAAACATAACATATTTTTCTTAAATATATACATGCATGTGTGTGTATTTATATATACATAATAAATATACACAACACACACACATATATTATGTAAACAAAAACTTTTATTTTGGATGCGATTATTTATTTAACAGCACTAGTTAAAATTCACCCCATAGTCTGGGTTAGTTGTAAAATACCCTGGGGTGAGATGTTGCATTGTGTAACAAGGATTATGACCAAAAAAAATAATTTTGAAAGCTTTTTATTCAACATTGACTTTTCAATATAATTGGTGTGTTTGTGTGTGTTACATTAGCATCATGATAATACAACTGAATAACGTGCATGTGTGTGTTTAAGCATGTTTGTTAATGTCAGACATAGTAAATTGGCCATAATAAAATTGAACTTGAACACTTGAACATTGAGACACCCCTCGGTTTGTCTTTCTCTTGCAGGACTGACCTACTGAAATTCAAAGAAAACATAAATACAACAAAAATGTTTAATTGATGTTACAACTAACCCAAAAGTCTAGTAGCCATGAACTAGCTCAGCTTACAGCTAACAGCCAAAACATTAGCATTTGCATGAAAAATGTCTACACAGACACACAATAAACTATTTAACTTTGATTAGTTTAACTACAAAGCAGGAATTGCCATTACAAAAATAAATGAAGTATAAAAAAAGCTACTTTTTTATCTCAAAATGTGTTTTTCTCCTCTAAAATCTGGACACGTTGTGTGTGTTTATTGATAGATTGTAATGATATCTGCATCTGTTCAGTTCTGTGTCATAAATGCAGTTTAATGTGATGCGGGAATTATACAAGACCGTTTCCCATCCACTCATTCAAACGTCAGAGTAAATGACAGAGACCAAGAAACATCGTGGGGTTATTTCGTTCAAAAAACAAATAATGACCCAGCAGCTGATTGCATCGTAGACCTATGTATTAGCCTTAGAAAAAAGGATTTGCATTATGTCATTTTTGAAGTGTTTAGAAGTGGCAAAGTGACTGATTAGTGTGCTGTTATTATTATTAAAAAAAAAAAAAAAAGGGTTGGTTTAATATGGGGCACATCAAACACTATGCCAATCTAGACAATTACTCTAATCTAATTCTAAATTAATATGATCTGATTATTTAAAATCAAATTATTCAGGTGTTGACTTGAGCATGTAGAACCTAGAATCTACTGTATAGGCCTATGTTTCTGCTTATTTTAGTATACAAACAATATATTAATGCCCAGTTTCACAGGTTTAAGACTAATCCCAGACTATAATGAATGTTTGAGCTCTCTTAACTAATGTGATTTTCTACTGACATATCTTAATAAATAATAACCCTCCCCCATTACAGTTTTTTTAAATTGGTTTGGTACTATTTTCATAAGCAAGGTGTACATTTTAAAGCTCTTAGTACACAACTTTAAACTGATCACACTTGTAACACCACTAGTCATTCTTTCAAAACCTGATCTCATGATTTCATTGTAGTTGCACATATTTTCATTCCACATAATCATTGTTTCTGAACACAAGATCATTGTGATATGTATTGAGAACATTTGGTTTCACCAAAACACAACAGTAAGATAATTTTTCAACTTAGTACTTTTAACAATCAGTTCATTCTGTAGCACACAATACAAAGTACAGGTTTTAAATCATCCTCGGTGCTGAATGAATGTTACTGTAAAACTGTATACACAGCAAATGTTACACTTACGTTCAGACAAAAGCTATATTAAAAAAAATAATAATAATTTACAACATGAAAATGTGATCAAAGAACACATCAAAAGTCATTTACGTACGCAAGCAAAAAAAGTATTTTTTTTTAATTTACAACAATACTGTCTGTGGTTGCATGTGAAAAAACCCAAACAACAACAATCTGTAAATGTAGACCTGAAATTCACATTAATTATCAAGTCGGTCTTCAACATTTGGCCATAAATTTATCAACATCACAGTGAACGTCTTCATTGTTCATACACTGCGGGAAAAACCTTCTGGCATGACGAATCCAGGCTTGACATTGCGCTGAATTTACAACATGAAAATGTGATCAAAGAACACATCAAAAGTCATTTACGTACGCAAGCAAAAAAGTATTTTTTTTTAATTTACAACAATACCATCTGTGGTTGCATGTGAAAAAACCCAAACAACAACAATCTGTAAATGTAGACCTGAAATTCACATTAATTATCAAGTCGGTCTTCAACATTTGGCCATAAATTTATCAACATCACAGTGAACGTCTTCATTGTTCAGGCACTGCGGGAAAAACCTTCTGGCATGACGAATCCAGGCTTGACATTGCGCTGCAGTTATATCACCACAAGCTTCATCCATGGCTTGAAGAAGGGTGACATGCTCATGGGGATGGCGATCATACACCTTCCACCACCATGTAGAGAAGAGTTCCTCACTTGGGTTGAGGAAAGGAGAGTATGAGGGAAGGTAGAGGGTCTTGAACCGAGGATGTGGCCTCATCAACAAAAGTATGCTTGTGATGATTCACAGCAGCGTCCAGCTCCATCACCCTCTAAAATAATAATAATAATAATTTGGTTAGCTCTTTTACAAATAATAGTTGACATTGTTAGTCAGTACTGTTAATTGCATGTCATACAGTACACCGATTTAGTGTTGTACCTGAACATATTCTGAACGCAGTTGTTTCACCCAGGCATTGTTTCTCTCAAAAGGCACCAAGTAAATTTGTTTCATTGAAACCTGGTGCTTCTTCAAAAGGCGGGCGATAGTTGGAAGGCCAATTGACGGCACATTGGCAAAGGTGTCATTGCTGTTCTCAATAGCCTGCTTGATTTCAGACAGCCGTATGTAATTCCTTGCCCTGACCATTTCCACCACAGCTAACTCCTGCTGGTCAGGCTAAACACGTGGGCGACCACCCCCAGTCTGTCTCCTGTTAATTCTGAGAGGACAACAGTATGCTGTCAATATTTTACTATTACAAATTACATAAAACTGTGACAATTACATGTTGTTCTTCTATACAGTAATGCCATTACTGTAACAGTACTATATTGTAAAAGTATAGTGAAGTTACTATAGCAGACTTACCGGTTTTCTTGGCGAAAGGTTCTGATGATAGAGCTGACCTTTGTAAGTTAGGCTGAACTAAGGCCTCTGTTAACCACATGGTCAGCAATGATGGCCCGGACGTCATTAGAGATGATGGTGCGCGGTCTTCTGTCTACATTTCTCTGAAGACCACCTCTTTGTTGAGGAGCAACACCACCTCTTTCTCTTGGTCCACGTCTACCTCTTTGATGCAGGTTTCCTCTCTCTACAAGTCTATCCTGCTCCATGTTTGAACATTGCAAAGTCTCACACACAGTTCTACTTATATGGTATCTAATTGTGATCATCAGGTGAAAATAATTAGTAATTGGTCTTTCTTGACTGAAAGCTCTTGCAGCAATTTGTAACTTACAAATTATCAGACAACAATCAGACAAGTTGAAAATCTGTGGACATAATAAATGATTAATTGATTAAACATTAAGATCAGTTGAATTAAATGATAGACAAATGTATTAAACTGAATGATAAGAGATGCAAATCAAAAGTTTGATAGTAATAGCTTTATGAAAGGCAGTTACTGTGAATGAAACGTTTATATAGATGAAACACTTATTTTGTGTAGTGAAAAGGATATTTTGTGATTATGTGTATTGTACTAACACAATTGAAAATATGCTGAAATGTTTGAAAAAAAGTGCACTTTTGATGATCTGTTGTGATATAAGTACTAAGAGTTTTGAAAATTTACCAATTGCTTGTGAAAATTGTGCCAAAGCAATACAAAAAAACTGTAAGAGCAGCTTTATTTCGTGCACCGATTTTCAAAAACAACCTGTTTAACGCGAAATACGTTTCTTCTCATGTTTTTCACTATACGGGCCACAAGAGAAATATTAAGGGAATCATTTAAGACAGTTATATGCCATTATCAGCATATGTTGAAGTA